GGCAGGGTGTAATTCTTGTCACACACCAATGGAGACACGACTGAAACTGTCCAAGGAAGGAACTTCAGCAGAGGTAAATGTGTCTGAATATCGCAGTCTGGTGGGAAGCTTGCGGTACTTGATACACACTCGTCCTGATATTTCTTTCGCGGTGGGGATGGTGAGTCGGTTTATGGAGAAGCCCAGGCAGGAACACATGGCAGCGGTTAAGCATTTGCTCCGTTACATCGCCGGCACTGCAGATTTTGGATTGGTTTACCCCAAGCTGTCTGGTATTGACAATAGCCTTACGGGCTACAGTGACAGCGACCTGGGAGGTGATGTGAATGACAGAAAGAGTACTACGGGGATTATCTTCTTCCTGGGAACCAAGGCGGTGGCCTGGCAATCCCAGAAACAGAAGGTGGTGGCGCTCTCTTCTTGCGAGGCAGAGTACATCGCTGGCGCTGCAGCAGCGTGTCAGGCGGTGTGGCTCACGAGGTTGCTGAAGGAAGTCACAGGCGACGATTCTCCAGCACCTCAACTGAGGATGGATAACATGTCAGCCATTGCTCTCAGCAAGAATCCGGTACTGCACGATCGAAGTAAGCATATTGATACAAAGTTCCATTTCATTCGTGAGTGCGTTGGCAATGGTACGATTCTGCTGGAGTATGCGAGCTCGCAAGATCAGCTCGCCGATCTGATGACCAAGGCGTTGGGACGTTCAAGGTTCTGTGAGCTAAGGGAGAAGATCGGCGTGGTCAACCTAGTCTGAACTCACCTCATTTGGGGGGAGATTGTTAGCTCATTCAGTTAGTTCAGTCTAGGTTCAGAGTCTTGTTTTTTGAGTTTGAGTCAATAAGCCTGAACTGCTAGAGGTGCGTCATGTAAGGCCCTTGACTTGCGCATTGTCCGCAAGGAGGTGGCCACGTTTTAAATCTTCTGTTGAGTCGTGGCTGAAGCCGCACTCCACTAGTTGATCGTGGGATGGCGGCGGCCCTATAGGAAGTAGTGGCGTGCATGGCGTTGAGTTTGAGTGGCGAGGCTGCTCCTTTGCATGTATATATATGAATAGAGTCTGAAAATGCCGTAGGTGGGTTCTCGGCACCAAAACATTTGTGTGTGCTCTAAGTTTCACAGTGTTCGCGTGTGTGCGTGAGTTCATCGAGTTTTCTGGGTCATCCTCTTCGACTCCGGTGACGGGCGCCGGCGTTTAGGACTCCGAGGTTCGACTTCTTCAAGGACTCCCACGCCTCCTTTGCCGTGATCTTCCGAGGCGATGGCGCGTGCGGCTCCTCCGAAGACCAGAGTGATGATCTCAAGGGCACTCCGGTCTTCTATGTAGTCGAAGGGGCCGAGGCTCACCGTCTGCCACAGGCCTCTCGCCTGCAGCTTCAACTTCATCATCGCCGCCCAAGAGTAGTAATTGGACTTGGTGAGGATCGGGAACTTCGCCTTCTCCTCGCGACGACAGCAGTGGTCTTGTGGTCACCACCGCCCATTGCGACGGCGCACCGACGGGAACCGCCTTGCCGGTGAGGACGAGCGGAACCTGCGCCGATCCATGGCTAACCTGGCTCCGATACCAGATGACGTCTCCTAAACGCCGGCGCCCGTCACCGGAGTCGAAGAGGATGACCCAGAAAACTCGGTGAACTCACGCACACACGCGAACACTGTGAAACTTAGAGCACACACAAATGTTTTGGTGCCGAGAACCCACCTACGGCATTTTCAGACTCTATTCATATATATACATGCAGTGAGCAGCTCCTGGCCACTCAAACTCAACGCCATGCACGCCACTACTTTCCCCACTGGGCCGCGCCATCCCACGATCGAACTAGTGGAGTGCGAAGCTTCAGCCACGACTCAACAGAAAGATTTAAAACGTGGCCACCTCCTTGCGGACAATGCGCAAGTCAAGGGCCTTACATGACGCACCTCTAGCAGGTTCAGTTATTGGACTCTGAAACTCTGAAAAACAAGACTCTGAACCTAGACTGAACTAACTGAATGAGCTAACACAACGCTGGTATTGTCACCTTGTAGTCTGGCGGTCTTCCTTGCTGTATGAGTTGTAGCTGTTGGTGTTGGGAGCTTTGTGTCCTTCCTTCATGTGAATGAGTTATACCTTGATTGTTGTTTTGTGTGCTGTCATCTTCAGTGTGTGGACTGCTTTGTTGCCGTCGTTGATGCATTGGATGTGTGTGTTGCTGCTGACCTGCAAGTGTTACAGATTGAGCAATTTGCATGTTAGTGTTTTTGCTGAAGTATTGTCATTCTACAGCAGTTTGTTACAGACCAAGACACACCAGAGGAAAAAAATTACTGTGGAGTACAGTTTCCAGCATTAGCTGTTGCCCAACATGGTAATGCAACAGAAATATTCCAAGTGCTAGGCTCAGAGAGAACTTCTAAGCGCTATAACAGCAAAATTTGCAAGCATCAATATGGACGTTGTGCACCCCTTCTGCTGTTTTCGCTATTGCTATCATCTCCCCTCTGTTGTTTTCCAGCAGAGCTGGATCCGCCACTGCCACTGCTGCTGCCACTACCACCACCACCACTGAGTACGGCAACCACCTTGCTGTTGGGGAGGCGAAGTCACAGGCATAGAATGCTGCCATGCATTTTTTTGAATAAAAGACCAAGGAAAAATATGAATAAAAGATTGCAATATCACAGCAACAGCTTAAAATTCTTCCACTGCATTTTTTGAAATCATCATGTATCCAATCACGGGATACATTACCAACAAATAGCCTGTTCTTAGTCTGGGAGGAAGAAACACCCTTTTCCTGTAACAAGAACCAAAATAATATTAAGAGAAACCCCTTCTTCATGGAGATCTTCATCATTGCCTCTTGGCATATTTGGAAGCAGAGAAATAACTTCATCTTCGACAGAGGACATACCTCCTTTATCTCTTGGAAGACCTCCTTTTATGATGAAGCCAAACTTCAAGCTTTTAGACTTTGTGAAGAAAAACAACATGCTTTTCTCCAGTTTAGACTCCCTCTCCTAGTTTCTTTTGCTTCTGTGGAGTGCAGTTTCTCCTGCCCACTTGCTGGTCATGTTGTTTAGTTCCTTTAGCCTGTCTTTGTACAGCTTTTTTTTTTTTTTTTTTTCAAAAATAATAAAAAACCCTTACAGTGGGGGGTCTCCCCTGCTGTATTTTTGGGTAAAAAGAAAGAACCAAAATAATAGGGTCTAGGAGTCTAGTTAGTATCAAAGCACAAACTATATATGGGTTAATTAAGTGCAAGAACTAACCAGGAAGTACATTCACGTTCTTTGGGCTGCAAAACTTTGTTCGGATAATATGAACAACAACAACAAAGGCATTTAGCCACATGCAAGTTGGGGGTAGAATTGGATAATTTGGGCTCAAATATATTTTAGAAAGGTTCCTTGATAAATTATGAAAACATGATCCACCACCACCCACAGTTCTGGTTTCTGGAAGTATAAATAAACACAAGGTTCTGAATTTTTATCTGAGCAACAGAACTGTTGCAAAGTTTTAAATTAGCAAGAGGATGTAAGTGTAATCAGATAAGATAACCTTGTGCTTTGTTATGTCTCTAACTGATCACAAGGTTGTATTATAATTTCTAAAGTCAACCAAGATCAACAGTGCAACTCCTACAAAACCATTTTAGAATCGCAAGCAGATGTGAGCGTATCATACATCCATGTACCCTGCTATGTCTAACAGTGATTCACAAAACCAAACAGAAAGTATACAGAAACACAATTTTCAACTTAGTTTCCTACTCCTATCTTGGGAAGATCTGTGCTGTCAAATACTTGTTTTATCACATACAACCACCTTTTTGCAAAAAAATAAAAGATATAAACAATGGAAATAAATCACTGGCATGGAATAACACGAAGATCAACTCTGAATTTAAGTGAAAACTGTTGGACCACTTTGCCACACAGGTGTGTATCACCACACTACTCCCACTCACTCACACACACACTGGAGGTTGAAGAAGAGGAGCACAGAGTGCACACTCACGAACACAGGTGGAATGGGGCTGCTGAACTGCTTGGCTGCAGCTAGCCATATCCTCATATATAGGAATTCAGAAAATGTACAAGTCAACAAGGGGCCATGCTGCCCACTACCAGGAGCCATGCTTCCACTGCTTGGTACTAATCTACCTACTACATACTATCTATGTACAGTTGTTTTTTTACTTCAATAAAATTTACAGTGGGGGTCTCCCCTGTTGTACTCACGGTTCAAAAAACTAACAAGAAAGGGGAGCGAGCAGACACCGCAGAAGTGCTGCTATGAGCCTATGACCGAAGGGGGTGAGGGAGCAGCAGATTACATATCCAACAAAAACAAACCTTTAGGTCTTTATTACTCAACTTTGGATGGCCTTCAAAGGCAGCTTTTTAGTTCTGAACTAACAAATGCATACAGCTTGCTCCCCCCTTTCCTCGCATTCGCACCTGCATAAAAAAGGGACAATGAATTGCAGAAGACAACAACAAAAGCTAAACCAGAGAAGTAGGCAGTACTCACATCCAGGACTTCTCCAACTGACTCAAAACAGTAATTGACATCTTCAAAAGATACATTGATAAGACTCGGCCCCAAGATATACTTTGCCTCCATGAGCAGGAAGAGCAAGAAGCTCAGAATGCTTCACTTTTTCATTCTCATCTTTCTGATCATCATCCACAAAAAAGAAACTCCTGTTCTCATCTTAAACTAGAGGTGGAGATCAGTCGATACATCTCATTTTACCCACCACCATTCATTTATTCATACTGAAAATGCCAAAAGTGCACAAGCACACACAATGTAGCTTTAGCCACCAACACATCACACTTAGTCCTGAAGCTTGACAGATAAATAGGCTAATACTAAATTTGCCACTTGTGGTATTATGATTCTTATTACAGCAGAATTGTTACAGAACGAGACGCACTAGAAAACAAATACTAGAAAGTACAGTTTCAAGTATTAACTGGTACCCAGCATGGTACTGCAACACTCAAGACTTGGCTTCATTGTGGAAACGATACTTTTCAGGCAGAGACTTTGAATGGTGCTGATATTCATCCCTTGAGAAAAGTGATATAAGCATGGAAGTAGTGGAAGCCTCAAGTGAGAAATTCTTCTCATCAAGTTTGGAGAGGTAAGCCCCAGCCCTACTTATGTCACTTCTATGCAACAACCTCCTAACTAGAGCATTTAACATACGTGAGTTTGGAGCAGTACCACTCTTTTCCATTGCTGAAAACATACTGTCAAACTCCTCTAGCGACCCTTCTTCTATGAGATTTTCCGCTATTAAGCTGTAGGTCACAACATCCGGAACCAGACCATTAGCAAAGATAGTAGCAAACAAATCCATGGAATCTTCCTTTCTACCACCTTTGAGCAAAGCACCAATCATGATGTTGATAGTAAAAATGTCAAGTTGAAGATCCTTAGAACACAGGCTTTGAAATATTTTGAATGCTTCATCAAGACAATTATTTTTGCAAAGCTCAATTAGAATTATGTTATATGTGTAAATATCCCACTTTGTTCCGTTGTTGATCATATTGAGATAGAGTTCCTTTGCTTCAGAAAGTCTCTCAGTCTGAAACAAGCCATGCAATATAGTATGGTAAGCCACAACTCCAGGTGTAATGCCATTGCTCAACATTTCTCAGAAAACACTATACGCATCGTCTATCCTTCCAGCTTTACAGTAGCCATGAAGCAAAGTATTATAAGTAACTTCATTAGGTGTCAGGCCCATTGAGACCATACCATCAAATACCTTCTTCGCTTCATCTGTCTTTCCAGCTAAGCAGTAACCATATATTAATGGTGTAAATGAAAAAGCATTCGGCCTTACGCCTACATGTTCCATCAAGTCGATGAGGCTCTGGGCTTCCATAACCCGTCCTATATTGCATAAGTTACAGATTAATGTGCAGAAGAACACTACATCAGGACGAATTCCTTCATCCAACATTTCATGAATTAATTCCTCAGCCCTCTCCCATTTGTCAACGGTGCAAAGTCCATAAACAAGAGAGCTAAAAACAACAATGTCAGGAGTCACTCCTTCATTGATCATCTGGTTGAATTTGACCTCAGCGTCATCCACCCTGCCTAACTTGCATAGTGCATCTATTAGTGCTCCGTAGCTTACTGCATCAGGACTCAACCCATGCTGCCTCATTTTGTTAAAAATATCCATTGCCTTATCTATCATACCACATTTAGCATATGCACTGAAGAATATGTTGAAGATGTGATGGTCAGGGGAAATACCCTACCATCAAATTTAGGAGATCATGCATTTCAGAAAGAGCACCTTTGTTACCATATCCATGAAGCATAATGCCATAGGTAGTTACATCAGGTTTTATGCCCTTCCTAATCATAGAATCAAAAAAAAATTCTAGCTTCTCTGCTTTTTCCATTCTTGCATAGGTAGTCCAGCAGCAAACCATAAGTAAAACTATCTGGCTCAAGACCACGTGCAGACATTTCTTTGAGCATCCGAACCACCTCTTTCCACTGTCCTATAGAGAGGTATCCATGGATCAGACACGTATATATGTAATTGTCTGGCTTAACACCTTTATCAATCATCTGCTGAAAGACACTCTCAGCCCTATCAACCGCTTGAGCTTTGCACATGCCATCAATTACTGTGGTGTATGTCACAACACCAGGTGGAATCCCCCGATCCATCATTTCAAGAAATAGGTTGTAAGCTTTGTCCACTTGATCCTCAGTAAAGAAACCGTTGATGACAGTGTTGTATGACACAACATCTGGTGGGCAGCTTCTACCTTGATCACTAGCCATCATACGCAGCAGCTCTAGTGCCTCTTCAGCTCTCTTTTCATTGCAGAAACCCTTGAGAAGTATGCTGTATGAAACTACATTCGGCGTGCAATCAAATTCAGACATTCGTTGGAGCAAAACATCCATGGCCTCACCCACCCTCCTTTCGTCACAGAGACCATCCAGAAGTTGAATGATGACGACGAATATATCATTCACCGTCCAACCCGTCTTAAGGATGAGGCCAAAGGTGGCGAAGGCATGCTCCAGGATGCGGCAGAAGCAACCGATGAGGATGCTGTAGGTGAAACTGTTGGGAGCTACCTTGTCAAAGCATTCACGGATCATCCGGTTGAAGCGGGAGACAGCGAGCTCGGAGGCTGAAGAGCATCGGCCGCGAGAGACAGCGGTAAGCAGATGGTTGAACGCACGAACAGAGGCGGGCCTGGCGTGGTGAAGCAATTCATCGAACAGCTTGAGCGCGTCGTCGAGGCCGAGGCTTTTCGAGCGGGCGCGCCCTGCGATGATGCGCTCCAGCTCCAAGCACCGGTCGGCGGCGGCGTGCACGCGGCCGCTCGACATGCTGACGAGGCGCGCTCGGGCGCGGCGCTACTGTGGCCCGGCGCGGAGTGGCACGGACGGCGCGTCGGCCTCCGGATCCGTGAAGCAGAGCACACCTCGCGGGCGCTGGACGGGGCAGCTCGAGCCGCGTCGTGGAGTGCGTAATGGGGGCTAGTGGGCGGCGGCGGCGGCGTGTGCGCGCGGGGCTTGGGGCGGGGCGACGGGCGCAGATGCCGCTGGGCAGAGCGAGGAGGCCAGGACTGTTTCTCTCTCTCTGCCCCCTTTCACATTCTGCCATAGCTGGCAATGCTTGAGTACATGAACTGCGGCACATTTTGCATGCTGTGAGAGAGAAACTGGAAGAGAAAGCATCTTGTTTCGTTGTGAACAAGGGCTTGTTGAGATGCAAAAAAAATTTTGTAAAGTGAGTACTGTAGCGTTTTTGTTGTTATTTGGTAAATAGTATCCAATCATAGTTTAATTAGGCTTAAAAGATTCGTCTCGTGGATTTCGTCTAAACTATGTAATTAATTTTATTTTTTATTTATATTTAATGCTTCATGCATGCGCCTAAAGATTCGATGTGACGGAGAATGTGAAAAATTTTGCAAATTTTTTTGCAAACTAAACTGGACCCAAGTAGATTTTACTACCCGAACAATCCACTTTGTCCGTTTAACTTTCTCGACAAAATTTAACCTCGATTTACTCTCGTGGACTGTTTCAATTTGTCTTATCTACCCCCTAGTAAGATATGTCTTAAAAATAGTTTGTTCGACTTCTTTTTTCAGCCGGAACAATGTTTTTCTCTCACAACAATTTAGCTGGAACAGTGTTTTCAGCCAGTTTCAGCCAAGTTTCAGACCAGCGAACGGGTCCATGATGTCCTATGTTAACAAATATATTTATAAAATTTCATGATTACTTTTCATGCAACTTATATGTCTATGTTTAATTTAGTAGCAGATGTTATTAACTTATGAAAATAACAATGAAAATTTCTTAATATATTTTCCCAACCTAATACAACATGTTTTATATTAGCATATAAATATAAAACTGAACCTAAAACTCAATTTATATGTGGAGCAACCAAAATGTACAAATCTCATTAGGGGTAGATTTGACAATTAAAATAGTTTATGGAAGTAAAATAAACCCAAATTTTGCAAAGTGTCAACCAGACAAGGTGGATCTTTTAGTGTACTGCCTCTATTATCCAAAATATAAGCTACATTTAGAGTTCAAATTTTTCTAGTAAAATTGCTACTTTTGAGTTCCTCTTGATTTTTTTAGCGTGAAGAGATAGAAAGTAAGCATCGCTGCCATACATAGGTTACGCGTGCATGCTAAATGTAGCAATATTATGAGATGGAGGGGGTTGTAAAATGGATTTTTGTTTCCTTTTTATTTTTTGAAAGATGACAATATCTTCTGCAGAAGTGGCAAATATCCTCGACGCACATGCACAGTCCTAAAGTCTAAATCTCTGACCGCAGAGGAACACTCACACATGCATAAATATGCTATTTTATCAAGGTTTTAAATAGCAGACTATGTCGTTTAGCAGCAATTATTGAAGGATATAGCAGAAGCTATTTTATTTCGTGATTTTATATAAATAAAACATAAAGATTCCTAATTAATTATGCACAGGAAACAAGAAAGTACGGAAATTTCACAAATGCAAGCTCTCAAATATGTATAGGCTTTTAGAAAAAAATCACTAAATCCATTTCTTAACATTTATTCAATCAATCACATGAGTAAGATAAACATTCACATTTATTCAACAGTCAATATTTATTCAATGACCCATTACAATTTACAATTTATATTAAGTAAGAACACAGCAGAGAGGCGTACCTTAGACATCTAAATTAAAGAATGAATGTGCGCCTCAATCGGTCTTAGCATTGTTAAAAATATTTCACGACTAAGCTAAATAGCAAAGTTTAAAATAACTAAACAATTGGAACTATCTTAGCAGCAGAAGCTATGAAAATGCTATAGCCAGTTATTTAAAACCATGTATTTTATAGAATATGCTACTATAACAAAAAAACATAGCATTTCAGTCCCAAGTAAGTTGAGGTAGGCTAGAGTTGAAACCCACCGAGAGCCCCAAATCACGGTTCAAGCACTTCAATAGCTGTTTTCCAAGTACTCCTATTCAAACATAGATCTCTAGATATATCCTAAGCTTTCAGATCTCTTTTTATTGTATCTCCCATGTCAATTTCGGTCTTCCTTTACCTCTCATCGTATTATTAGCTTGGCTTAGAACTCCACAATGCACTGGTGCCACTGGAGGTCTCCTGTGGACATGGCCAAACCACCTCAATCGATGTTGGACAAGCTTTTCTTCAATTGGTGCTACCTCTAGGCGATCACGTATATCATCGTTTCGAACTCGGTCCATTCTTGTGTGACCGCAAATCCATCGCAACATACGCATTTATGCAACACTCGGTTGTTGAACATGTCGAATCTTTGTAGGACATTCTGCTCCATACAACATAGTTAGTCTAATCGTCGTTCTATAGAACTTGCCTTTTAGCTTTTGTGGTACCCTCTTATCACAGAGAATGTCAGAAGCTTGTCGCCATCTGATCCACCCTGCTTTGATTCTATGGCTAACGTCCGCATCAATATCTCCATCCCTCTGTAGCATCGATCCCAGATATCGAAAGGTATCCTTCTTAGGCACTACTTGACCTTTCAAACTCACATCTTCCTCCACCTGTACAACTCCGCTAGTCGCATCTCATGTATTCGGTTTTAGTTCTGCTCAATCTAAAACCTTTAGACTCAAGGGTCTGCCGTCATAACTGTAGTTTCCTATTTACTCCCGCCAGGCTTTCATCCACTAACACTACATCATCAACGAATAACATACACAAAGTGATATCCCCTTGTATGTTCTGGTAACCTCATCCATTACCAAGGCAAAGAGATACAGGTTTAAGGCTGACCCTTGATGAAGTCCAATTTTAATCGGGAAGTAATTTGTGTTACCATCGTTTGTTCGAACACTAGTCACAATATTATTGTACATGTCCTTGATGAGGGTTACGTACTTTGATGGGACTTTATGTTTGTCCAAAGACCACTAAAAGCTCTAGTTTGATTTTGGTTAATTGATGAAACCCTAAGTGCTAACATAGTTTATCAAAGTGATTGTGAGATAGGTAGCACTACTCCAAGTGATGAAGCAATGACGAAGATCATGACGATGGTGATGGCATGGTGATGATCAAATGCTTGAACTTGGAAAAAAAGAAAGAGAAAAACAAAAGGCTCAAGACAAAGGTATAAATAATAGGAACCATTTTGTTTCGGTGATCAAGACACTTAGCGAGTGTGATTACATTTAGGTTAGATAGCCGTATTATTAAGAGGAGTGAAACTCATATTGAAATGCGGTTATCAAAGTGCCACTAGATGCTCTAACTCATTGCATATGCATTTAGGATCTAGTGGAGTGCTAACACCCTTGAAAATGTTTGTGAAAATATGCTAACACATGTGCACAAGGTGATACACTTAGTGGTTGGCATATTTGAGCAAGGGTTAGAAACTTCACCGGCGGAGTGTCCGCCCGTAGAAGTCTTGAGACGGTCCGGCGGTGCCACCGCACCCTATCTGAAAAACAGGGGTTTTCTGAGTGATGGGGACGGTGGTGGTGCAATGTGATCGGACGCTGCTGCGGCCTAGCGTCCGGTCGATGATGAGCAGAAACTTACACTATCTCGGTCTTGTGGACCGGACGCTGAGTGTAAAGCGAACCGGACGCTCATGGTGCAGAGTCCGGTCGGTCTTGACGTCTGTTGACGTGAGGCGCCTGAGAGAAGCGTTGAGTGGCCGGACACTGAGGGTGCGTCCGGTCGAGCATGACCGACGCAGCGTCCGGTCGAGAAATGTCGTGTTTGGAACCTTACTGGAAATGACCGGACGCTGAGATCCAGCGTCCGGTCACTTTCTAACTGACGCGTCTGGTCATCACTTGACCGTTGAAATCGGGCGATCAGCGTTTGAAGCCGATGACACGTGGCGCACATCGCACGACCGGACGCTGAGGTCCAGCGTTCGGTCAATATGACCAGAGCGTCCGGTCGGCCCGTGTTCAGTACAGTAAGGAGCGCAACGGCTCTATTTAATGGGGCCTCTATTTAAGCCCCATGGCCGGCTCAAGCTCACTCTCTTGGCTATTTGCATTGACATAGTAACCTAGTGAGCGTAGCCAAAGCCCTCCCACCCATCTCCATCATTGGTTCATCATCTTTGTGAGATTGGGAGAGAATCTAAGTGCATTGCTTGAGTGATTGCATCTAGAGACACTTGGTATTCGTGTTTTGCTGCGGATTTCGCTTGTTGCTCTTGGTGGTTGCCACCACCTAGACGCCTTGGTGCAGCGGTGGAGGATTGGCATGAGTTGGTGATTGTTCGTGGCCATCTCCGGTGATTGTGAGGGGATTTGTACCTTCCCCGGTGGAGCACCGAAAGGTAACTCTAGTAGATTGCTCATATCATTGAGTTACCTCACTTGTGGGTAGGTTCTTGCGGTGTCCAATCGTGTGGACGAGGTTTGTGCAACACCTCTTAGCCATCGAACCACCAAGTGTTGGTCGACACAACGGGGACGTAGCGTGTTGGCAAGCACGTGAACCTCGGGAGAAAATCGGTTGTCTCTTGCCATTTGGCATTCTCTCGGTGATTGATCTCATATTCATCTTGTGATTGGTTCATCTCTCTATACGGCGGTATAATCACCCTACTCACTCTTTTATATTCTTGCAAACTAGTTGTGGCAAGCTCTTTAGTGTAATTAGAATTGAGAGCTTGATTTGTTATTTAAGTTCATCTAGTGGAGCTCTTTAGTGTAGCAAGATTGAGAGCTGGAAAGGTAGAGATGACGGACTAGAGGGGGGTGAATAGTTTTTTGTAAAATTAATCGCGTCGGCTAACCGAAACAAATGCGGAAATACAACTGTCGGATACCAGAAAATGGGGTACCCCAA